AGGGGGGATGGCCCAAGGTGCTGCCCCCCCCCACTGGGTTCAACCACGCCATCCCCTCTTTGCCTCCTAGGGTGGGGACTGACCCTCCCCCCACATGTAATTCTGGGGCTGAGTCCTCCCTTCCCCAACTCTGCACTGCCCATGGTAGGGTCTACCCCCTCAGCCCAGGGCCTGCCTGCCCCCCAAGTCCTATGCCACCTGCAATTAAGGTTGCCAGGGGTCCAGTTTTGAACCGGACAGTCCAGTATTTGAGCTTTCTGTTTGGGAAACAGACTGAGAAAATAGAAATGAGAAAATATAAATGTCCGGCATTTTCTCAATAAGATGTAATGCATATTGTGATGTAATATCAAGTATGTCCGGTATTTTTGTTGAAATCATCTGGCAACCCTACCATGGGAGGCAGGAAACTTAGACTGACTATGATGACAGACAATGAATATGTGCTCTCCCAATTTGGCTTTGGAAGCCCCCATCAAGTGGATCCCAATTATGGGAGATTCCTGATGAAACCAGGAGCGAGGACTCTTTTGAATAGAACACAAATATATTGATTTTTATATAGAAGAATTTAAGTTCAGCATTCATGATAGAATTTGCACTACATTACTTCAGTGAGGCGAACTGAAGTTTTTTGTTTTTTGCAGTGTCTGGCTACATCTACACTGGCAAGATATTGTGCAAATACTTTTAACGCAAGAGTTTTTGTGTTAAAGTATTTGCGCAAGAGAGCGTCTACACTGACATGTGCTTTTGCGCAGAAGATGTGCTTTTGCGCAAAAGCATCCATGCCAGTGTAGACACTTTCTTGTTCAAGAAAGCTCCAATGGCCATTTTAGTCATCGGGCTTTCTTGTGCAAGAAATTAATGTTGCTGTCTACACTGGCCTCTTGCGCAAGAACACTTGCACAAGAGGGCTTATCCCTGAGTGGGAGCATCAGAGTATTTGCACAAGAAGCCCTGATTTTATACATTAGAATGTCAGTGTTCTTGTGCAAGTACTCGCGGCCAGTGTAGACAGGAGGTAAGATTTTGCGCAAAAGCACATGCTTTTGCGCAAAAACTTGCCAATGTAGACACAGAGTAAATGTTTTGTAATAAAAAATAAAGTGAGCACTACACACTTTGTATTCTTTCTTGTAATTGAAATCAATATATTAGAAGATGTAGAAAACATCCAAATATATAAATAGATAGTATTCTTATAAATGTTTTTATTAATTTTAATTGCACTAGAACCCTAATTAAAATTTAAAAAACCTGAAACACAATAATTTTATGAAACTGAAAATTTAAGCTGATCAAAATAAAAAAATTAAAGAAATATTTATATTATTTATTAATCTGTAAAAAATATAGAAATTGAATTCAGTTCAATTCTAATAGTCTTTAATGGTAAGATGAGCTATAACTAAAGATGAGTGATTTGGAAAAAAATATTTTGCATCTACAGTATTTGCTCAAATTTAAAAAACTAGCATGGGTTTGGCCATCATCTTAATCCTCCCCTGTTTCCTTTCTGAGAAAGTTCAAGCTAAGGTGAATACTGATGAATAGCAAATCTGAAACCTGATTACTCTTATATTTACTATAAAATATATTTGGAATTATATAACCACTTATATTCAAAGTATATCCGGTTCTGCTTATTTCATAAAAGTAATCTATGAAGTATAGTTGTGTGAAAGTAGAAAGAATTATACTGTAAGGCTATGTCTACATTGGCACCCCTTTCGGGAAAAGGGATGCTAATGTAGACTTCGGAATTGCAAATTCCACCGTCCCATGCCCCGACCTTTCTGATGTCCCTCTCTCTTAACTCCGACCTTGTGTTATTCACTGACGGTTCCTGCTTTCGAGATAGACAAGGTCGTCTCCTTGCAGGATATGCTGGGGTATCACTCTCTGAATCCCTAGAAGCTCCACCGTTACTTTCTGTGACAGTGCAAGTCGCTGAACTAGTTGCCCTAACCCGTGCTTGCTTTCTGGCTGAGGGGCGCTCCGCCACCATTTATACTGATTCTCGTTACGCTTTTGGGGTTGTACAGGCAGTCCCCGGGTTACGTACAAGATAGGGACTGTAGGTTTGTTCTTAAGTTGAATCTGTATGTAAGTCGGAACTGGCGTCCAGATTCAGCCGCTGCTGAAACTGACCGCCAGGGAGACGGGGGGGCAAAGCAGAGCCAAGCCGCGGAGCGCGTGGGCAGCGGATAACCCTGTCCGCTGCCCGCGGGGTAACGATCTGGTTTTTCTGTAGCCATGTTGGAAGAAGGCCTGTGGTAGGCCTGAAGCAAAGCTTTCCTCCGCAGCCAGACTGAAGAGCTGCAGCCATTAGCTGTAAGGCCTAGAGTCCCATTCCATCTAAATGGTATTAAAATAGTGTCACAGCCGGTGGAGAAGGGGATTTTGTCCTAATAGCTGTCGCACTGTCACCGGATAAAGATACGGATCTCCAGATGGGTCAAGAGAACGGAAGTAACCCCATTCTGTCGGGCAAGAAACTGCTTCTCAGTAGCTGAGGCGGTGGAATCCGCACTCTCTGGTTAAGTAGCCTCACTTTTCTGTTTGTCTGTATGATCTCTGTGTGGCTTGTAACTGTTTCAGTCTGCTGTGTCTGGTTAAGTTTGTTGCTGGGTGTAAATCAATGAAATGGGGGTGGGGTATGAGTGGTTAGTTAACTCTCCTAAACTAATTGGTGAGGGTATAGCTAAGCAGCAGTCAGGTTTCATTCTAGAAAAGGGTCCCCCCCAAAGTAATAGAAGCAAAAGGCTGGAAGAAGAGCAGAGGGGAAACAAGGAAGAACTACTCGGCTCCGAGACCAGAGCTGCCAGGATTCTCCTGCACGACCGTGACGTGCGGCAGCTAAGATCCAGAGAGCCTGATCTTGCCTGGGCAACGGGGGAAGTCTGCCTGCCTTGATCAGGATTGGTGAGCATGATGTGCAGAAGCTAGTGTGAAAGTAGAAAGAATTATACTGTAAGAGAAAGATGAATTATGCTGTAATAATTGAATAAGTTGAAGGAATACTGTTTGTCTCTGAACAGGAAGAAGAAAAGTATGTTAATGTTGTTTGTAGGTATGCAGATTCCAGAGTGCTAGCCAGAGTTAATAGGAAAAGGAATATTAGGTGTTAGGGAGAAAGCAATTGAGATAACTAACCAAGGAGATATGGACAGGAGATTGCTGTGTGCTTGATGTGGAAATGAAGATACTTGACTAGCCTCGCCCCTCTTTTAATCCTGTTAATTTTGACTTTCTTTTGACTGTATAAATCAAGGGGTTTGAACCTTGTAGGGCACTCACATTTTCTGGGTTAATTTAGCAGAGCAGCTTTGCTGAATAAACAGAGCGGTCTGACAAATCTGTGAGTCCTGTCTGACTTTGACTGTTGTAGCCATGTCAGTCCCAGGATATTAGAGAGACAAGTTGGGAGGGGTAATATTTTTTATTAGGCCAACTTCTGTTGATTAGATAGACAGGTCTGGAATAGAGCTCTGTGTATCTTAAAATGTTTTGTCCCTTATCAGTAGAAGTTGGTTCAATACAAAAGTTATCACAAAAGAATTTAGCTACATTCCTGTGTGCATGCAATTCAGGGAGAGGGCTGTCACTGAGGTGATGGAATATCAAGAGAGTTCACAGACACGGTTCATAGCTACAGGGTCCCTGTCAGAGTGGGGAATGTCTGAGAAAAAGGAGCAGGAAGAGTCAAATGACTGAAAAGTGAAAGCCTGCGATTAAGAGCTACCCTGGCATAGGAAGTGAGATGCCTTCTCCGGGAACCAGGAAGGGGGAGAAGCTGTTTTGGAAGAGTCTGCTTTTACCCACAGTAAAGGCAGAACTAGGTGTGGTGAGCTTGTGTCCAGCTATGTCTAGACTATGGGGAAGATTTGAAAGAGGACATGCAAATTCCACAGGAATTTGCATATCTTCTTCCGCTATCACTTTGGAAAGCAGAGCTTTCGAAAATAAAAGTAGTTTAGATGTGGCTTTTTTGGCAAATCCCCAGTTGTTGAAAAGCCACCTAAACCTCATTTTTTGAGGAAAAGCGGCTTTTCAGCAAAAGGGGGGGGAGGAGTTCGCCGAAAAAGCCACATCTAAACTACTTTCATTTTTGAAAGCTCCGCTTTCCCCGTAGTCTAGGTGAGCCTCTCAGGCCTGCATGCAGGGTCCAATGAGAACTGATCTCTGGGTACTTGGAAGCAATTTCCCACAGTTTGGTCCTTTCTCTCTTCAAGGAGACTCCCAGGGAAAATGTCCCACCTGCCAGGCAGTTCCTTTTCAGCTTCCTAGGGAAAGTCAGTAATTACATGTACTACTGCTCTGGCTGCTAGTTCGTCTGCTGTGAGTAGGATTGTCAACCCTCCTGGTTTCACAGGGAGACTCCCAGGCCTGGGACTGATTTTCTAGAGGCTTCTGAAGCCAAAGTGTGAGATCAGCTACGCTGTTGTCAATAAATATATAGCACACACTGTTCCATCAGGTGTTCCATTTAGCTTTGGCTTGGTTAGAAGGCTACATAAATCAGTAGTAACTCACCCATTTCCTGCTGCCTTTTGTCTGCAATGGAAAGACAGAGAGTTGAATAAATGCATGTTTTTGCTCCCTTCTCAAGGGCTGTGTCTACATTGGCATGATTTTGCGCAAAAACGGCTGCTTTTGCGCAAAAAACATGCTGCCTGTCTACTCTGGCGGGGAGTTCTTGTGCAAGAACACTGATGTTCTAATGTATGAAATCAGTGCTTCTTCGGCAAGAACTATGATGCTCCCGCTTAGGGATAAGCCCTCTTGCGCAAGTGTAGACAGCAACGTTAATTTCTTGCGCAAGAAAGCCCAGTGGCTAAAATGGCCATCGGAGCTTTCTTGCGCAAGAGAGCATCTACACTGGCATGGATGCTTTTGCGCAAAAGCTCATCTTTAAAAGAACCTGCCAGTGTAGATGCTCTTTTGCGCAAATACTTGCACGCAAAAACTCTTGAGTTAAAAGTTTTTGCGCAAAATCTTGCCAATATAGATGTAGCCTAAATATGTGTTCTTTAGGGAAGCTCTTGAAAAGTGCACAAGATCAGAAAGAAACCCTTGGATTTCTTACAGTAGGGGCTTTCTTGAGAGAGCACAGAGGAAGTATAAAATGCTCAGCCACAACTGTGCAACTTGTGAGAACAACAGATGAGGCTACCAACAGCTTTGCAAAGAGTAGAGGTCTGTCTCTGAAGCAGGCAATAAGGTTTCATATCTCATTAGTTCTAATGTTCTGCTCTGGCTGCTAATCCAGGGCTGACACCTGCTTTAGTAGGGCTGTCAACCCTCCTGGTTTCACAGGCAGACTCCTGGGAACGGACTGATCTGCTGGAGGCACCTGAAGCCAAACTGAGATCAGCTGTGCTCTTGTTGATACATTTATAGCACACACATTTGAATTTCCATCAAATGTTCCATTTAGAATTGGCTTGATTAGAAGACTAAATAGTTCAGTAGTAATTAACCTTCTCCTTGCTGACTTTTGTCTGCAATGGAAAGACACAGCATTGAATACATACACATTTTTGCCCTCTTCTGTAGTAAGCATTCTTAGGATGGGCAATTTGGTGTAGGTAATGGCTAGGTGTGAATATAAAACAAAGCTGGCCACTGAGAACTCATGACCCTAGGATTTCACGATGACACCCCATAAAATCTGGAGCCAATTTCAAGATTAAGGCTCAGCTTTAGGGAAATCTTGACACACGCACAAAATCAGAAAGAAATGCTTGGATTTCTGACAGCATGATCTCTCTTGAGAGCTCCCAGGGAAAGTATAAAATGCTCAGCCACAGCTGTGCAACTTGTGAGAGCAACAGAATAGGCTCCCAGTAGCTGTGAGAGGAGAGAGTTGGCTGTTTCTGAGCCATGTCTAGACTACACTCTTTTATCAGAAAAAGCTTTGCAAATTGTGGTCTGCAATTTACATGGCTTTTTCCAATTAGTTTTTTGGAAGAGGCTTTTCTATCATTTGTCCCCATCTATATGTGAAATGAGGAATACAGGGCTCCCCAAAAGAGCTCATCTGTTCTTCTACAAAAAAAAAGCAAAAGAGCAGACGCATTCCCTGGACACGACAGGGTTTATTCCAGGGTACCTCTGGTATCCCAGAGAAACCTTGGAGCTTAGACATACCCAGAAGCAGGCAAGAAGGCCTCGCATCTCACTAGTTCTAGTGCACTGCTCTGGCTGCTAGTCCAGGACTGCCGCCTGCTGTGAGTAGGATTATCAACCCTCCTGGTTTCACAGGGAATCTCCTGGGACCAGGATTGATCTCCTAGAGGCTCCTGAAGCCAAACTGTGAGATCAGCTGTGCTCTTGGTCGTACATAATGTAGCACACACAGTTCCAGCAGATGTTCCATTTAGCATTGGCTGGATTTGAAGGCTACATTAATTGGTAGTAACTCACCTCCGTTCCACTTCCTTTTGTCTGCAATGGAAAGACACAGAGATGAGCAAATACATAGTTTTTCCCTCTTTTGTAAACTTGTGTTCTCTAGGATGGCCAATTTGGTGCAGGTGATCGTTACGTGAGAGCTTGAAGCAAAGCCGGTCACTGAGAGCTCATGACTCTGGAATTTCACACTGACATCCCATATCACCTGCTGTGAGTAGGATGCCCAACTAGTGTTCCCTATAAGCTGTGTCCCACCTGCGCCTCTCCTCTCCACCACTTGCACCATCCCATCTGGGCGTGGACCGCTCCAGCTCTGGCTCCCGCTTCATGCCCTGGGGGGCTGCATCACTGGAGAGGAACTGCTGGGGCAGGTCTCCTCTGCCATCTGAGCCCAAACCCCTCACCTCTTCCACTGAGACCCCCAGCCTCCTCCTGTCCCCTCTCTCCAGAAAGACACCTACCCCCAGCCTACTCTTGTAACCTTCCCCTGGCCAGACATTTATCCTGATTCCTTCCCCCCAGCCAGATACCTACCCCTAAGGAGAGGGGGATTGGCAAGTGTAGTGAGCAGAGGGCATAGCCCCCTAGTATCCAAAATAGGGATAAGATGTGTAACTCTGGAAAAACATCTTCTACGTTAAATAAATTTAACAGCAATGCATGAAACAGCTTACCAAAAACAGGAATCACTAGGGGGCTGTGCCCCAGTTTGCTATGCTCACCAACCCCCCTCTTGGCCAGGGAGTGTCCAGGGCCAAGGCCATCCAGGCCTGGCTCTTCCCATCCTGCAAGCTGCCACCAGGAGGCAGGGCCAGGCTGAGTACGCACCATGCCCAGCTCTCCACCCATGGAAACACAACTGGCCAAAGCATAGCGATGAAATGTACCATCAGGGCCACAGAGATCAGGCAGCATTGTTCACTGCCAGTATCACTTATGTTTGAATATCGCCATGCTTACCTGCAACAATCACCTGGGTATCGGCTTCTTTGTAGACACCATCACCTGTCACTTCACACACGTACTTCCCAGTATCTTCTTTTTGCACAGGAAAGAGTCTCACCGTAACAACTCCATTCTCATACCAGCCTTTGAGAGCATCACTCATGGGGTGGTCCCCAGCCCGGACCATCTCAGTCCCATTTGATAGATTATTGTAAAAATATAACGTTGTATTTTTGTTCCTTTCCAATCTATACCAACGTACTTGATAATTAGTGGGAAGCTGGCCAGTGATGTGGCAGGACAGAATCACACCTTGTCCGACCAAGGCAATTTCAGGATCAACACGTACAGTGACAGTAAAACCATCTACAGGAAAGAAAACAAATCAGGATCATCAATTTTCTTTGAAAGCATAACACTGGCATAGAGAGAACAAAAGGAAATAGTAGATGCAATTACCCATACACAACAGCCGTGTTATGTTTCATGTAGAAACATGCCCCATCTTATTTCTCTCTTTTCAGAATGGAGAAATTGTTTCAGATACTTGTTGTTAATGAAGCATTTCATGGATGCAAGTAATGGATTGTTCAAGCTCCACAGCTCAGGGAAGGTGCATCTAGACTACAGGGTTTTTTTGGGAAAATGGCCACTGGAATTGTGTTCTTTCAAAAGAAAATCGAAAGAGCAGAGGGTTTTTTTCGGTGTTGGTAATCCTCTTTCTACAAGGAAGAAGCCTTTTTCCAAAAAAAGCTTTTTCGGAAAAAGGCATGTGTGGACAAGGAAGATGGAGTTCTTTCGAAAGAAGAGGAAAGAGGAAAAAGCACAGGTGCCCTGGTGGCCACTCTGTCCATAGTAAACACAGTTTAAATGCAAGATAGAGTGCATTTAGTGTAGATGCTATCTTTCAAAAAAGCAGATCTCTTTTTCAATGCACTTTTTGTCTGTGGAGGCTCCAAAGCAAGGAACAGCCATGGCACAGCCACAAGCCTCAAACCTCCTCTGGCCATTCCAGAGAGCAGTCCCAGAGGTCCCAATGAATCAGGGTCACTGAGCCTACATCCACACTGCACTGTATGTTCAAATAAGATACACAATTTCAGCTACGCAAATTGTGTATCTTGTTTTGATGCTATTTCAAAATAGCTTATTTCATTATTTGGTGCTGTCTACACAGTGCCAAATTTCAAAATAACCCACTATTCCAAAGCATCCCTTACTCCTCATGAAATGAGGTTTATGGGGACATTGGAATAGTGAACCTGAAATAACTGGCTTATTGTGAAGATGCGGGTTTTTCCTGGGATCATGCAAAAATCACCTGGGAGCTAGACCGGCTTCAAACCACAATGATGTTAATCCCAGTATAATGCCATTAGATCTCCCAAATTTTATTGGGTTTCCCTCTTCAGATTGCATCATGGTTTCCTTACCCTAGGTTAAGACAGGCAACAATAGATATATTAATTTTCTGATCAGTAAGTAGAAAAAAAATGTGTTCTTACCCCAAAACCTTCTTCCAATGAGAAAAATAAATGTAAGGACGGCAAGATAAGTGGCTGATTTGATCCAGACAAGCATTGTGAAGTGAATGCAATATCATCCATCCAATTCTCTGCCAAAAAACATTGAAAATATCACAAACTATAGCGTGAGATATGAAAACAACTAAAGCTGGTCAGGAATTGTCCTAAAATGGGGCTTCATTGGAAAATTATGATTCATCAAATCCAAAATATTTATCGGAGACAGCACACCTCGCCAGTTTCAGGGGAATCCAAGGTTCCATGATTTAGGGCTCTAAGGTGACACTGTGATGCACATGATTCCAAGACCTGGGGCCCTGAAGCTCTCATAATGTTCGGGTTTCGCTCTTTTCAGAAGACGCCTCCCCAAAGTTTGGGGGGCTCCCTATGAAGCCCAGGAAGTCTCTAGGTCAACAACTGAAACAACCACATTCTTTATTTCATTTTGAGAAAATTGAATTAAACCCATCATAGGCTACGTCTACATTGGCCGCCTATTACGGAATAGGCATGCTAATGTAGCACTTGGGAAAAGGCAAATGCACGGGGGATTTAAATATCCCCCGCGGCATTTGCATTTTCATGGCCGCTGCTTTTTTCCGGCTTGGATACAACTGACTATGTCTTGTTGCCTTGGAAAGTAAGATTCACTACTGATGGGTTTACATAGAAACAAGGAGTCCAATCAGTGGTTTGTCCAACAATTGACAATTGCTTGTTTTCACCAAAGTCTCTGTGGGACCTATCATAGAATGCATACTGCTCAACACATGAGACCTTTGGAGGGATCAAATCTGAACAGACAGCATCACATCAGTATGCTGGTATTTAGGGATGTTAAGGACTAGCCAACTAGTTGATTCCCCCACCCTTGCTGCCTCTATCAGACAGAGGCAGCAAAGTGTGTGTGTGTGGGGCGGGGGTACTTCAAAGCAACAGCTCAGCACAGCTGAGCCTGGGACCAGCTGTGTGGTACTGCTCCCAGCTGTCCCCGGGTTCTGGGGAAATGCCGCATAGAACCTGCGGTCATCTGGAGAGTCCCCAGCTGAATCCGGGTTCCACTGAAATGCCGCATGGAGCCTGGGATCAGCTTGGGAGTCCCCAGCTGACCCCGGCTCCGCGTGGTATTTCAAATCAGCAGCACAGCATGGAGCCCAGGATCAGTGGGGGACTCTTATCAAGTCCCCTTCTGAGTCCGGGCTCCATGCTGAGCTGCCATTTGGAAATGCACAAGAGACTGCTGGGGACTCTTGTACATTTCAAAGCTGGCATGCCCCGTGCAGCCCGGAGTCAATGGTAGCAGGGACTCTTGTACGGAGCAGGAGCTCTTGTATATTTCAAAGGAGGAATGCGGAAGTGCCTATCGACTACGTGACTAGTCAATTAACCATTACTTAATATCCTTACTGGAATGACAAACTGTATATTCTATGGACACTGCAACTTCGGATCCTAAAAGAACATGTAGACAATATCACCAGGCAGAACATCAGAGCTTCCTTGTTCACATCATGGGAAAAGAAATGTTGCAGACTCTGGATAAATTCTCTCCTCCATACAAGCTCTTAGACTAGGAAGTGCTTCACTAAGTGTCAGCATTCAGAAACATCAAAACCAAAAAGAAAACCTATCAATCACACAAGGATAATGTATGCCTCCCCTATGTTATGCAATAGAAGGATTACAGGGTTTGTCAGGAATGTCTTCTAAGGCGTGTGGGGACCTTAGACAAGAAAAATATCTTGTGAAGTATGTGTCTTCAGAGACCTGGCAGGGCATGCACTTTTTAGGTTCATTAAGTGATATCTGTTTTGAGAGAAGCACACGTTGGTGTATGCTGGGAGGCACAGGTCTCATGAGATGCACACCCTGGGAAACAAACCCTTTGAGGCCGAATGGGAAATACACAGATTCATGAAATGATTAGCTCACAGATGGACCACTGAGCTTATGAGCAGATTAAGACTCTGAAGCAGTTAATAACTAATGAGCCTTATGTCTTCATTTATTTGTGTATCATTCCCAATTCCAGACATTCTAGCCTCTACATCATCAAGTGTGTACAGTGTTCAGGTCACTAAATCTCCTCTGCCCCCATGAAGGGTTGATAATGCATTAACATTCCATGATGCCAACCCAGGCTTTGATGCTGCACAGTGAAGAAGCATTACACAGTGTCATTTCAATTTATCAAACTTAGGTTTCTCATCAATGCTTGTTTGACCCCAACATATTGTTAGCCTTCTTGGCTACAAGGGCACACTGTTGACTCATATCCAGGTTCTCATCCACTGTAATCCCCAGGTCCTTTTCTGCAGAACTGCTGCTTATCCAGTTGGTCCCCAGCTTGTAACAATGCTTGGGATTGTTCCATCTGAACTTGTCCTAGTTGAACCTCATCAGATTTCCTCCAATTTGTCTAGGTCACTCTGGATATGATCCCTATCCTTTAATGTCTCTATCTCTCCCCCTATTTTAGTGTCATCCGCAAACTTGCTGAAGGTGCAATCCAGCCCCTCATCCAGGTCATTAATAAAAATGTCAAACAAAACTGGCCCTAGAATTGACCCTTGAGGCACTCCACTAGAAACTGACTGCCAACCTGACATTGAGCCATTGATCACTACCCAATGCGCCTGACAATCCAGCCCGCTTTTCAGCCTCTGTACAGCCCATTTATCCAATCCATACTTCTATAAATATATTTTTCTTTAATAAAATGTGAGCAAGCAAAGGCTTCAGAGCTGTCAGTGCCCCCAGCACTCCACCTCCAACTTCCACATGCCAGCACAGAAACTCTGAGC